AGGTTCTCGGGGATGCCCCCAGCCCCACTGTCTGGGAAGGGTGTTCCTTGATGTGGAGGCACAGGGCAAATGCTCTCCTGGGCTGGGGTTACTCTGTGGGAGCAGGGAGGTGGGTTTTGCTCTGCCTTGTCCCAGGGCGCTGCTCCCATCTCTTGTCTTCTCCCCAGGTACCAGTTGGCCGTCACCCGTCGGAAGGAGGAGGAGCCCAGCAGCACCAGCATCTACAACCAGAACGACCCCTGGACGCCCACCGTCGCCTTCGCCGACTTCATCAACAATGAGACCATCACCAACGAGGTGAGCCGGGGTCCCCTGGTCTGGAGCTGTGGTACCCAGCCCCAGAGCTGCCCCAGTGGGCTCAGCTGGGAGAGGAGCAGCCCTGGGGATGAGGAAAGCGTGTTTGAGCGTCCCCTTGGCTGTGTGTCTGCTTGGTGCTTTGGTCAGAGCGCAGGGGCCGGTGTGCAGAGCAGGAGCTTGGTTCTCCCTGTGCAGAAATGCAGCAAAACATCAGGAAAATCTCTGTGGGCCAGACCTCGGCTGCAGAGCTCAGGGCAGGGCCCCTTCTGCTGGGTGGGCACCTACAGCCATAGCTGCGGGCAGGTCTTTGGGAAGGGAGGGGATCTTTCCCTGGAGAGGGGAGCTCGCAGTGTGGGAGCAGCCGGGCTGGTTTCCCTCCTGCACTCCTGTAGCTTTCCATGGCTGCTGGGCAGGTTCTGGTTATTGCTCCACAGGGTTCTGAAATAACCATGGTCTTGTGGCTCCCCCCTGCCTAGGACCTGGTTGCCTGGATAACCACTGGGTTCCTTCACATCCCGCACTCGGAGGATATTCCCAACACTGTGACAGTAGGAAACGCAGTTGGCTTTCTCCTGAGACCCTACAACTACTATGACCTGGACCCCTCCATATACTCGCACGACGGTGTGTTTTTCACCAGCGAGCAGGACTTCACGGCGTGTGAAGTCAACCCTGTGGCGTGCCTGCCCCAAACTGCCTCTTGTTTGCCAAACTTCCCTGCGTTCACCTACAATGGTTTCCAAAATACGAGCAGGCTTTAATGCTAGAGGACGGTGCTGGGGGACACAGAGACACCAGGTTGGTTCTTGTGTCTCAGATTTCCCAGTTGTTTGGTGAAGTTGTCCCAATTTCCAGCTGTGCAACGACTTCGCTTTTTATTGTTGCTTTAAGATAGTGCTCTGTAAAAGGGAAGCGTGATCTTCCTGGCATGGTGCCATGTGGGAAGTCTGTGTGAGCTCTGTTAATTGCTGAATTTGAGTCTGTTGCAGAGGGAAAGCGAGGAGAACCCCCTGTTCCTCTGCTGTAGAAGCAAGCGCTGCGTAGTGCCTGTCTCAGGCTAAGAAAATGAAAATGGTTCTGGTCCAGTGCTCTCCTTGAGTGTCTCATTCTTATGACTTACAGCAGCGTCTGCTGCGGGGTCTCTGCCGTGTTTCCTGAACCCACAGATCAGGCTCCAGGTG